AAAATTCTACTATTTTTATGTTACTGAGTTCATTTTAAGATTCCCATGTGTTTTAAGAATTCATTAATGCATAAAAATATCATTATCACCTAGTTGTCCCCAAGTCTAAATATCCATTATTTCCTTTTCTGTGTTCTGGCTCTAACCTTTCTTCTCCCTAGGCCATTCTAACCTTGTCCACAAACTTGAATACCATCTGATGTCCCATGGCACTAGTCCAGATTCCTCTGAACTAGACACCTATATTTCATCTACTTAGTATTTTCCATTGAATGTCTTAGAAGCACCTCAAACTTACCATGTCCGAGATTAAACTCAGTATCTGTGTCCCCCTGAAAACCTAGTCCTTTTTTTTTCACCCCAACCTAGTCTTTTCCTAGAAGGAGGGGGCCCTGGAAGCATAGTGGTTATGCGTTGGGAACCGCCAGCCGATCCTCAAGAGAAACGCCGGGCTTTATATTTCTATTAAGTTAGTCTCAGAAACTCACAGGGGCAGTACTACCCTGTCTTCCAGGGTTGCTATGAGTTGGCATTGACTTGATGACAATGAGATTGGTTTTTCTTTTTGTTTGTGTTGTTGTGTTTTCTTGGAAGGCACTGCATCCAGTTTTCAAAACAGAAACTTAAGAGTCAAAAACTAGTTCCCTTTTTCTCTTTCTCTCACCACTAGAACCAATTCACCAGAACTCAGCAATATGATTTCCTCTCCATTGATCATTTTCCCTCTATCCCCAACCACTTCCATTCTAATCTAAATTGCAATCATGTCTCACTTAACTCTGGCGAAATCTTCTAACAAACTTCCTCGCATGTACTCTGCCCCTCTCCGGTTCATTTTTCATGTAGCATTCCAAGTGATCCTTCCAATATATAAATATGAACATGTCACTCTTTAGTAGATTTGCATTTCTCTCATTGAATCCTTAACATGACGTCTACTGCCCTGTGTGAGTTGGCTCCTGTCTACATGTCTAGGTTCATGTGGCTCACAGGATCGCATAGAAACGTTGTACTATCTCCTGGTGGTACTTCTACCAGTGTGCAATTATGCATTCTTAAGTGTGACTACCTTTCTCCAAACTAAACTGAATGTCTTTCTTCAAAACTAAACCGAAAACCTTATGAGAACAGGAACATTGTAATCCTGGTATTTAGAAGCTCATGAACCAGTGAATGAATGAATGAATGATGAAAGAAGACCGGAGAGAATAAGTGAACTGCTATATCTAGGCATGGAGAAAGAGTGTGTTTTCCATTTTTTGAACCAGCCTGAAATGACTACAACTTTACTTATTTGATCCCCTGGCCAAAAAAGAATGATGTTGATTCTCTGGCAGAAAAGGAGTGCTAATTAAACTGGCCTTTGGTAGGGCACCAGAGCCCTACCAATGTGCTGTAGCTACCAGTGTAGCTCAGCAGTGTGCTGTACTTCCAGAGGATGAGGTGGGAGTAATGGTTTCCATTCTGGCACATTTCCTACTGGATGCTGCTCAGGGAGATTTGTTTTTGCGTTTTAAAGTCTTCTGCTTTTCACCCCAAATATTTGGTCTGGAAATCAGTAGACTAGACTTCTGCATATGAAAACAGACACCACCACTTCAACTAAACTGACCATCTGATTTCATCAGAAGAAACCATGAGTCTTAATATTGGTTTGACTGAAATGAAGGGTCAACCTGGTTGTGCATCCAAGCAGAGGCACAGGTTTGTTTGAGACTTGGACACTAAATCACAAGCTTACTTTTAATCTGTCCACTAGATCATTAACATCCAACGCACTTTCAAAACTACCATGTAGTCATTATAGCTCTCAATTGACCACCCGGAGTCAGAACACTCCACCTGAGATCACAGAAACTGGGCCAAGGTTCTTGGTGATAATGATGGTTATGGGCAAGCTTCTGGTTTCCCCTCACAATTCATTAGCACAATGAATGCTAATGAAACCAGTATGCAACTTGGTGGCTATAAACCAGTCTATGCCGTATTTACAGATTAATCTGCCCTCGATTGAAATCAGAGAGAT